AACGACCTTGCCTCAGGTCACGCCAGGACGGCCCTGCCTCAGGTCACGCCAGGACGGCCCTGCCTCAGGTCACGCCAGAACGGCCCTGCCTCAGGTCACAGCCACGAGCCGGTGCATACGCAGAAGTGTACACGGTGAAGCCAGTAGCCCCGACAGGTGCACCAGGTCTATTGTTTGCAAACACTGAGCGTCAGCAACTCGGCGCAGCTCAGTGTTTGCAAACTGCCGCACGTGGCAGCTGGACAGCGGCGCGTAACAGCTGGACAACCGCACGGAACAGCTGGGCGGCCGCACGGAGCAGCTGGACAGCCGCACGCGACAGCTGGCCAGCCGCACGGGACAGCTGGACAGCCGCACGGGACAGCTGGACAGCCGCACGGGACAGCTGGACAGCCGCACGGGACAGCTAGACAGCCGGTGTGTGATAGACGCAGGCGACAGTCCAGTGCGGCCAGTCCCGTTGGCCGGTACGGGGCTGGATTTGCACGCCTGCTCGTCTGCACGAGCACAGCAGTCGTAACAGAAGGTTGGCGGTAAGCGAAAACTGTGCCGTAGAAGGATGTCCATGTGAAGAGATTAAGCTCTTCTTTCGGAGTGCGGCATTCGGAGATGGTTTAATGTCCTACCAAAAAAGCTGTCACTAGAGCCTTTCCTTTCCGCCGGTTTAAGCAGAAACGACCGTCTCATACCCAGCATTTCTTCGGCTTCCAGTGCCGTTGATTGGCCTCTGATCCGCTGATTGACAATGTGTCTCGTGTATCACCTGAGGTGGCTCAGCAGTCCAGTCAGTCAGCAGAGCGTCGCCTATTGCCTGAGGTGGCTCAGCAGTCCAGTCAGTCAGCAGAGCGTCGCCTATCGCCTGAGATGGCTCAGCTGTCCAGTCAGTCAGCAAAGCGTCGCCTATCGCCTGAGGTGGCTCAGCAGTGCAGTCAGTCAGCAGAGCGTGGCCTATCGCCTGAGATGGCTCAGCTATCCAGTCGTCAGCAGAGCGTGGCCTATCGCCTGAGATGGCTCAGCTGTCCAGTCGTCAGCAGAGCGTCGTCTATCGCCTGAGGTGGCTCAGCTGTCCAGTCAGTCAGCAGAGCGTCGCCTATCGCCTGAGATGGCTCAACAGTCCAGTCAGTCAGCAGAGCGTCACAAATCAGCGTGCGCTGGGGTGAAAATGGGCGGCCAGGTACTTCCTTCTGACAGCAATCGTCAAAACGCTTCGCACACGACTGCACCTCAAATACAAATCGCTTCAGATGCCATTCGATCGAGCGATCCCATAGGAAAGTGCTCAGGGAGCCGTTCTCTGCAGGCGGGCGTACATCCGGCCGGAGACTGGCCCCAGAATGGCCGGCTCGTCTGAACACTGCCGACCCAGTCACGCTCGACGGACGCCCAACGAGGGCACTGGGGCTGATCAAACCGCCCGTCCCCGGCGGCCGACAGCCGGCATTCCAGCTGCCACACGCTCCAGCGCGTCCAGCGTCACCCTTCAGCCAGACCAGGGAGGGCACCCGCAGCGGGGTGGGACGCGCTCCGGGCTCTTCAGCCAGACCAGGGAGGGCACCCACAGCGGGGGTGGGACACGCTCAGAGCTCTTCAGCCAGACCAGGGAGGGCACCCACAGCGGGGGTGGGACACGCTCAGAGCTCTTCAGCCAGACCAGGGAAGGCACCCACAGCGGGGGTGGGACACGCTCAGAGCTCTTCAGCCAGACCAGGGAAGGCACCCACAGCGGGGGTGGGACACGCTCAGAGCTCTTCAGCCAGACCAGGGAAGGCACCCACAGCGGGGGTGGGACACGCTCAGAGCTCTTCAGCCAGACCAGGGAAGGCACCCACAGCGGGGGTGGGACGCGCTCAGAGCTCTTCAGCCAGACCAGGGAAGGCACCCACAGCGGGGGTGGGACGCGCTCAGAGCTCTTCAGTCAGACCAGGGAAGGCACCGACAGCGGGGGTGGGACGCGCTCAATGCTTTTCAGTCAGACCAGGGAGGGCACCGACAGCGGGGGTGGGGCGCGCTCCGGGCTCTTCAGTCAGACCAGGGAAGGCACCGACAGCGGGGGTGGGACGCGCTCAATGCTCTTCAGTCAGACCAGGGAGGGCACCCACAGCGGGGGTGGGACGCGCTCCGGGCTCTTCAGTCAGACCAGGGAGGGCACCCACAGCGGGGGTGGGACGCGCTCCGGGCTCTTCAGTCAGACCAGGGAGGGCACCCACAGCGGAGGTGGTACGCGCTCCGGGCTCTTCAGTCAGACCAGGGAAGGCACCGACAGCGGGGTGGGACGCGCTCAATGCTTTTCAGTCAGACCAGGGAGGGCACCGACAGCGGGGGTGGGACGCGCTCCGGGCTCTTCAGTCAGACCAGGGAAGGCACCGACAGCGGGGGTGGGACGCGCTCAATGCTTTTCAGTCAGACCAGGGAGGGCACCCACAGCGGAGGTGGACGTGCTCCGGGCTCTTCAGCCAGACCAGGGAAGGCACCCACAGCTGGGGGTGGGACGCGCTCAGTGCTCTTCAGCCAGACCAGGGAGGGCACCCACAGCGGGGGTGGGACGCGCTCAATGCTCTTCAGCCAGACCAGGGAGGGCACCCACAGCGGGGGTGGGACGCGCTCCGGGCTCTTCAGCCAGACCAGGGAAGGCACCGACAGCGGGGGTGGGACGCGCTCAATGCTTTTCAGTCAGACCAGGGAGGGCACCCACAGCGGAGGTGGTACGCGCTCCGGGCTCTTCAGCCAGACTAGGGAAGGCACCGACAGCGGGGGTGGGACGCGCTCAATGCTTTTCAGTCAGACCAGGGAGGGCACCCACAGCGGAGGTGGTACGCGCTCCGGGCTCTTCAGCCAGACCAGGGAAGGCACCGACAGCGGGGGTGGGACGCGCTCAATGCTTTTCAGTCAGACCAGGGAGGGCACCCACAGCGGAGGTGGTACGCGCTCCGGGCTCTTCAGCCAGACCAGGGAAGGCACCGACAGCGGGGGTGGGACGCGCTCAATGCTTTTCAGTCAGACCAGGGAGGGCACCCACAGCGGAGGTGGTACGCGCTCCGGGCTCTTCAGCCAGACCAGGGAAGGCACCGACAGCGGGGGTGGGACGCGCTCCGGGCTCTTCAGTCAGACCAGGGAAGGCACCGACAGCGGGGTGGGACGCGCTCAGTGCTCTTCAGCCAGACCAGGGAAGGCACCGACAGCGGGGGTGGGACGCGCTCAGTGCTCTTCAGCCAGACCAGGGAAGGCACCGACAGCGGGGGTGGGACGCGCTCAATGCTTTTCAGTCAGACCAGGGAGGGCACCCACAGCGGGGGTGGGACGCGCTCCGGGCTCTTCAGTCAGACCAGGGAGGGCACCCACAGCGGGGGTGGGACGCGCTCCGGGCTCTTCAGTCAGACCGGGGAGGGCACCCACAGCGGGGGTGGGACGCGCTCCGGGCTCTTCAGTCAGACCAGGGAGGGCACCCACAGCGGGGTGGGACACGCTCAGAGCTCTTCAGTCAGACCAGGGAGGGCACCCACAGCGGGGTGGGACACGCTCCGGGCTCTTCAGTCAGACCAGGGAGGGCACCCACAGCGGAGGTGGGACACGCTCAGTGCTCTTCAGCCAGACCAGGGAGGGCACCCACAGCGGGGTGGGACACGCTCCTGGTCGCTCGCGACATCTGTGAGGGCTCGGGTCAAACGTGACCAGTCAGACACGAGGTTACCGCCGTCCGTGAGGTCACTGCCGTCCGTGACCCTGATCACATCGTGCTCGCGCTCTGTCCCCGTGCTGGTGTTTCCGTCTTGTTTTCTAGAGCGATCCACTTCGGTGTATGGCACGGCACCACGCCCGTCCACAAACCAAGGATTAGGGGGGGGGGGGGGGAATGCCGGAGTAGCTGACGGTACTCCCACCCTGGCTCTCGCGACGGCCCATGGATAACTGGCCAAGGAACGAGTGCCAGAGTGGATGATGGCACGCTGACCTCGGGTACGGTCGACCTCTCCCACTCCGGACAGCCGTGACCTAATTAAGAGCATTTTAAGGGTTTGAACGAAGGCCCTTTCTCGGGTCCCAGCCGGGCATCACCAGCAGTTTCCCGGGAGCCGCACCTCTGGACTCACAAAGGTGAAGGCAAGGTCCGCCCAGCCACTCCCAGGAAATAGAGATGAACTTCCGTCGCTAGTGTCAGCGAATTGGAATGAGCTCTTGACTGCCGGCCCGTCACGGACGGTAGGGGGGCGGGGGAGGGGGGGGGGGGAGGCCGTCCGCTCCGCACTGGCGCTCACCAATCACGCGCCCTATGGCGCGATCAATTCTGTCAACATGCTGCCATGATCTGACGCCAGACGATTTTGCGGAGGGTCACTGTGTATCGGCCCCAGCTCGACGAATCAATCTCCGGCCACTTTGAAAGCGCTTCAGGGCTGCCTGGGGCTGTTGCCAGGCCTTCAGCGGGAGGGGCGAGGGGAGGGGGGGGGGGGGCAGACGGCAGCCAGCGAGCTCCTCGGGTGGGGCGAGGGGAGGGGGAGGGGGCGGGCAGCAGCCAGCGAGCTCGTGGGGGCACTGCGGAGCCGAACGTGCTCGGCGTCAGCCAACTCTCAGACCGCTTCGCACGGGCCAAAGGGCCAGGGGCTGCCTCCCTACATGTGACGCATTGTTGTCCGATTGGACAGCTTCCACGGGCGTTGATTGCAAGCCGGGTATCCGGCAGAACAAACGTGCCGGAATATTCCATCCCCGATAGGACGCCGCACGGCATACAGTGTCGTCCCCCGCGCCAGCTGGCGGGACGTCACGTCACGTCACGCCAATGCAGGGGGACTCGCAGCCGATGCAGGGGGACTTGCAGCCGATGCAGGTGACTTGCAGCCGATGCAGGGGGCCTCGCAGCCGATGCAGGGGGACTTGCAGCCGATGCAGGTGACTTGCAGCCGATGCAGGGGGCCTCGCAGCCGATGCAGGGGGACTCACGGCCGATGCAGGTGACTTGCAGCCGATGCAGGGGCCTCGCGGCCGATGCAGGGGCCTCGCAGCCGATGCAGGGGGACTCGCAGCCGATGCAGGGGGACCCGCAGTCGATGCAGGGGGACTCGCAGCCGATGCAGGGGGACCCGCAGTGGATGCAGGGGGACTCGCAGTCGATGCAGGGGGACTCGCAGTCGATGCAGGGGGACTCGCAGCCGATGCAGGGGGACTTGCAGCCGATGCAGGGGGCCTCGCAGCCGATGCAGGGGGACTCACGGCCGATGCAGGTGACTTGCAGCCGATGCAGGGGCCTCGCGGCCGATGCAGGGGCCTCGCAGCCGATGCAGGGGGACTCGCAGACGATGCAGGGGGACTCGCAGACGATGCAGGGGGACTCGCAGACGATGCAGGGGGACTCGCAGCCGATGCAGGGGGACTCGCAGCCGATGCAGGGGGACTCGCAGCGCCGCCCCCGTGCCGTCTTATGATGCCCGCCGGGACGGCGCCGCCGTAAATGGCCCGCATCGCATGTGGACAGGTGCCGCTGAAAGGGGTGCCCTTCCACCCGGGAGACAACAGACCGCCTGCCGTGCGTCTGAGCGGAGGCTACACCTGGCACCGGACTCATTCACGAAACTCTCCGCGGTTGTGTCCCTCGTAGTGTGGGTTTCGGCGCTTTGAGACCGACCTGGGGCGAGTCATTGGTAACTCGATATCTAACAGCTCTGTCAACGATCGTGAGAGGGAGACAGAGGTCGCGGTTTGCCTAAGCGCTGTAGCACGACCGCAGAGCAGACAAGAGCAGCCAAAGGGAAAACAGAGCAGTAAAGCACACCGCTAGCAAACTGTGGAGACCAACAGCAACCAACGACGACAAAATTCATTTATAACGATTGGATTTGGACTCATTTATAACGGCTGGATTTGCTGGACATTCAGGATCGTTTGCTGGAAAGACACCGCACACAGGCGCCGGGCTGGGCGGCCAGCCTCAGGCCGCCAGCAGGCGTCAACCCACGGGGCCCGGGCGAGTGGCGCTGTCAGCAGCCCACCCGAGCCGTCACTCACGCGCGTCACCACGAGTCCGGCGGAGCGCCGACCCCGCGACCGTGCCGCCCACCACCGCGGCCCGGCCTGCAGGGCCAACACCGGACCACAGCTGACCCTGGCGGCTCCGTGGCTCACACCGGACCACAGCTGACCCTGGCGGCTCCGGGGCTCACACCGGACCACAGCTGACCCTGGCGGCTCCGGGGCTCACACCGGACCACAGCTGACCCTGGTGGCTCCAGGGCTCATACCGGACCACAGCTGACCCTGGTGGCTCCGGGGCTCACACCGGACCACGGATGACCCTGGCGGCTCCGGGGCTCACACCGGACCACGGATGACCTTGCCGGCTCCGGGGCTCACACCGGACCACGGATGACCCTGGTGGCCCCGGGGTTCACACTGGACCACGGATGACCTGCCGGCTCCGGGGCTCACACCGGACCACGGATGACCATGGCGGCTCCGGGGCTCACACCGGACCACAGCTGACCCTGGTGGCTCCGGGGCTCACACCGGGCCACGGATGACCCTGCCGGCTCCGGGGCTCACACCGGACCACGGATGACCTGCCGGCTCCGCGGCGCCGGCTTCCGTGAATCAATCGGAGCAGCCGGCAGCCCGATTTCACGGCCAGCCGCCTCGGAGATGTCATATCTCGGGCGGCGGCCGGACAGACGGGCCACCGTCCCTGGCGGCGGCGGCGGCGGCGGCGGCGGCGGCGGCGAAAGCGGAGAGATGATGTACGTATGTACACAGCGGGAGGAGGCGGAGGGAAGGGGACACGACAATGTGGAATGGTACAAAAAACAAATGTGTTGAAAAAATTGCAGAATCATACAACGAGAGCAAAAAACAAAACAAAATAGACGCTAGGTAACGGCAAAAATATATGGATATCGTCGACAATGAGAAGAGTGAGAATAGAACAGGTGGATGCTGAAAGCAGAAAGAATGGGAACGTCCATGAAGTGGAGATATTGGAAAAAGTACCAGAAGGGAGGCGACGGAGACATGGAGATCACGGGCACCTGGCACGTGGCTGGTCTTATTGTTCGCCATGGGGGTCTTTATCCGGCCAGCCCCTCCTGTCGGCACGCCCTGACGCCTCGCCCCAGGGGAGGGCGTGGGCCGGCGCCCCCCCCCCCATCCCCTTCCCACCCCCGGCCACAGCACTGTACCACCCGGGCGCCAGTATTTTCATCCTGAATGGGCCGACCCAATAACGGCCGTCCGGCGATCGCTCTGTGCCGCCGCCGCCGCCGCCGCCGCTGCTGACGTTTTTATCGATGAACGATGGGCCAGCGAATCTACATGAGAAAGACGCGTGCCCGGCGGCCGGCGGCCGACAAATAGGAGGCGCGAGCTCAGCGCCGACAAACGACGCTGCCGTCACCGCTCGCGGCAGGCGGGCCGCGCGGCCACAGTCTGCTGGCCATTGGAGAGTGGTGCCGTAGTCAATACGGCAGGCGGCGGCGCGCGGCGCGGCTGCGACGAAAACACCGCTGATGGTGATGAGATGAGGGGCTCGAATGCGGCCCGGCGGCGGCACCAGCTGGCCGCCGGCGCCGCGACGATGGCCGCGATTAATGGACCGAAGCCGACCCGGGACAGGTGAGAGCAGCACCGCTCATGACGGGAGCTCGTGCTCTGCCGCGCCGACTCCGGCAGATTGGGGTCTAGGGTGGAGAACGAGGTAGGGGTTACTGTCACAGCACACACACCCAGCTGGAGAACTTTGGGGTACAGAGCGTAGCCCTGCGGCATCGCGTTTACGACGCACTCCATCGCTAAGCAGCATTCAGTTGCGGGGTGGATGCGAACGTTATACCGCCACACCCTTCCAATGGCTTGCCTCCTTCTGAAGACGTATTCAAGACGTGTGAGATGAACCGAAGCCGCCGCCAATCGCTGGGCGACGGGCTACATGGTGACGCGGCGTCAGCTGCCTTCATTGCGGGCGAGCTGACTGTTAGCGTCGTGCGCCACGTCACGAGTTACGGGATCCTGACCATCCACCCAGCAGCCGTCACCTGCCGCCGTGGCCAGGACCGGCACCAGCCTGACCATCCACCCAGCAGCCGTCACCTGCCGCCATGACCAGGACCGACACCAGCCTGACCATCCACCCAGCAGCCGTCACCTGCCGCCGTGGCCAGGACCGACACCAGCCTGACCATCCACTCAGCAGCCGTCACCTGCCGCCATGACCAGGACCGGCACCAGCCTGACCATCCACCCAGCAGCCGTCACCTGCCGCCATGACCAGGACCGACACCAGCCTGACCATCCACCCAGCAGCCGTCACCTGCCGCCATGACCAGGACCGACACCAGCCTGACCATCCACTCAGCAGCCGTCACCTGCCGCCGTAGCCAGGACCGGCACCAGCCTGACCATCCACCCAGCAGCCGTCACCTGCCGCCGTGGCCAGGACCGGCACCAGCCTGACCATCCACCCAGCAGCCGTCACCTGCCGCCGTGGCCAGGACCGACACCAGCCTGACCATCCACCCAGCAGCCGTCACCTGCCGCCGTGGCCAGGACCGACACCAGCCTGACCATCCACCCAGCAGCCGTCACCTGCCGCCGTGGCCAGGACCGACACCAGCCTGACCATCCACTCAGCAGCCGTCACCTGCCGCCATGACCAGGACCGACACCAGCCTGACCATCCACCCAGCAGCCGTCACCTGCCGCCATGACCAGGACCGACACCAGCCTGACCATCCACCCCAGCAGCCGTCACCTGCCGCCGTGGCCAGGACCGACACCAGCCTGACCATCCACCCAGCAGCCGTCACCTGCCGCCGTGGCCAGGACCGACACCAGCCTGACCATCCACTCAGCAGCCGTCACCTGCCGCCATGACCAGGACCGACACCAGCCTGACCATCCACCCAGCAGCCGTCACCTGCCGCCGTGGCCAGGACCGACACCAGCCTGACCATCCACCCAGCAGCCGTCACCTGCCGCCGTGGCCAGGACCGGCACCAGCCTGACCATCCACCCAGCAGCCGTCACCTGCCGCCGTGGCCAGGACCGACACCAGCCTGACCATCCACCCAGCAACCGTCACCTGCCGCCGTGGCCAGGACCGACACCAGCCTGACCATCCACCCAGCAACCGTCATCTGCCGCCGTGGCCAGGACCGGCACCAGCCTGACCATCCACCCAGCAGCCGTCACCTGCCGCCGTGGCCAGGACCGACACCAGCCTGACCATCCACCCAGCAGCCGTCATCTGCCGCCGTGGCCAGGACCGACACCAGCCTGACCATCCACCCAGCAGCCGTCACCTGCCGCCGTGGCCAGGACCGGCACCAGCCTGACCATCCACCCAGCAGCCGTCACCTGCCGCCGTGGCCAGGACCGACACCAGCCTGACCATCCACCCAGCAGCCGTCACCTGCCGCCGTGGCCAGGACCGGCACCAGCCTGACCATCCACTCAGCAGCCGTCACCTGCCGCCGTGGCCAGGACCGACACCAGCCTGACCATCCACCCAGCAACCGTCACCTGCCGCCGTGGCCAGGACCGACACCAGCCTGACCATCCACCCAGCAACCGTCACCTGCCGCCGTGGCCAGGACCGGCACCAGCCTGACCATCCACCCAGCAGCCGTCATCTGCCGCCGTGGCCAGGACCGGCACCAGCCTGACCATCCACCCAGCAGCCGTCACCTGCCGCCGTGGCCAGGACCGACACCAGCCTGACCATCCACCCAGCAGCCGTCACCTGCCGCCGTGGCCAGGACCGGCACCAGCCTGACCATCCACCCAGCAGCCGTCACCTGCCGCCATGACCAGGACCGACACCAGCCTGACCATCCACCCAGCAGCCGTCACCTGCCGCCGTGGCCAGGACCGACACCAGCCTGACCCCGTGTCGTCAGCCCGCGTGAGCTGCCGCCGTGGCCAGGACCGACACCAGCCTGACCCCGTGTCGTCAGCCCGCGTGAGCTGCCGCCGTGGCCAGGACCGACACCAGCCTGACCCCGTGTCGCCAGCCCGCGTGAGCTGCCGCCGTGGCCGGCCTACGGGGGACTCGGCCGCCCGGAAGCCGGCCTGATCACAGCGCCAGCGGGCGGCGGATTCAATATCCGGTCCGGTTCGACGCCCGGCGGCGCGCCGAAAACGACGCGTCAGTGAGGTGGCTCGCCGTCGACCGACGGAGCGAGGCGTCGTCGAGAGAACGCGGCCCTAGCAGGGGGCAAGAAGGTCTGCCTGAGCGTGTACCCCCGCTGCGATCCAGACAGTCCCCGAGAGAACTACGCCTTACACCATCCCTCTCCTCCCCCCCCCCCCCCCCCCCTACCTCCTCTCATCTAAACGCACTTCCTTCAATCACGCCAAAGGGCAGGCAGTCCCACCACGGTATTGACTTCTCGAGGCGCTTCAAATACCCCAGGTAACCGTTTTATCAAGATTCCATTCG